TACATCTCTTTCACAAGTGGGTGCAAGTTTCTAGGGTCAGAGTTGAATTAATATAGTTATATATTATTGAACTCAGTATAAGTCCTGTAAGACGTAAAACTGAATGAGTTTTTAACCTTTAAAAAAGATCTTCATTTCATTTTAGAATATATTGTTCCTTGCAGAAAGACTCATTGTTTTTGCTACTAACACTGAGATGTTGGCACATGCATCTTTAATCTGTATGTATCTAATTATTACTACTCATAATCAGATGTACTTGGATGTTTGGCGGTTGTGTATGTCTATAAAGTCATTGGGTAGATTTCACTGGTAATGTTTATCACCTCTACTAATTACAATGACGTAAATTTACATGCTTCCTCCTCAAATATAATATTTTTAAAATTTGATTTTTGTGTGTGTATATCAGACAGAACATCCCAAACCATCTTATTCAACTATACACCCACTTCCCAGATGGCACCCTCCCATAGCCTCCCTCCCCCCACTAAAGCCCTTATACTCTGATATTCCTGCTACTGTCTGCTGTGTTGTCAGAACCCCCAGCCATTCCCCACTACTTGCCCTTCTGGTGAATCTAGTCAGCCTATCTAGAGGTCTTTTAGGAAGGTCAGATGTTCCTCCTCTAGCAGCAATAAGCTGTCAATATTCCTTTATATAAGATTGGGGTCTGCTGTTCATTTTCCCAGTTCTATGCTGGGTTAATATCTGGGAGTCCCTCTGGCCATCTTCTTTGTAGACTGGACACTGGTTCAAGTCCAAGTGGTGGGGTCTCCTTGGCCTCCTTGATCAAGAGCACAGGTGACCCACCACATTACAGGACATTTTGAGAGATACTCATAGTCCCTTGGAACTAGTTGACATAGGAGGGCAAGGAGCAAATACAGTCCTTTATGTCCTTATAACCAAATTATTATAGGCCTCAAAGTATGTCTATTAAACATCCAAGAAGGTTAGCTCCACCAGTCTGGTATTTTTAATTACTGTGTGTCATGTAGATAAATCTTGGGCAAAGACCAACTGTTCTCAGATAAATCTTACCTAGACATATATTTCTTGATCTGCTATGTATAATTTGTCAGTAGATTGTTGGAGTAATATAGTTCCCTCTGGTTTTCAAAATTACCTAGGTATTATTTATCTCTCACATTGTCTCATCCCTACATCATAGTTTCCCAAATTAAAGTGCTCCCATTTTCCCCCCTTTCTCCCTTAATAATACCCTTCTCCTGCGGTCCTACCTCTCTTGAACTCCTTCTTTCCCTTTATCCCCCAGGTTCCTTGTATACCCTTCTCTCCCCACTCCCTTAAACTAACCCGATTTTTATCCATACCTCCCTATTAAAGCCTGTTTCCTACAGTTCTTCTCTTTCAGGTTCTTTCTTTTCCTTTACCTCCCTATTTCCTGTCCATTATCCTGGTTCCTGTAGTTAAGTCTTGACATATATACTCATTTATCAGGGTTTGGTTCTAGGCTCCATATATGAAGGAGCACATATGTCGATTTTCTGAGTCTGTGTTACTTCACTTAGTATAACCACTTCTACTTCCATCCATTTACCTGCAAATTTCATAATTTCATCTTTTTTTACCAATACTCTATAATACAGCTTAAAATCTGGTATAGTAATGCCCCCCTCCCCCGCCCTGCACTGCTCTTAGTGCTCAGGGTTGCTTTGGCTATCTGAGGTCTTTTGTGCTTCATTATGAATCTTAGGATGTTTTTTCCACTTCTGTAAAAAAAATGGGACATTTACGTTGATTGCATTTCTTAGCTAATGTGAAAAGAGCAACAACAACCATAGATGTACAAGTGTCTCTGCAATAGGATGAGTTCTCTGGGTATATGCCAAGGAGTGGTATAACTGGGTCAAATGGTAGGTTCATTTGTAGTTTTTTAAGAGTTCTCCACACTGGTTTCCATAGGGGCTGAACAAGTTTGCAGCCCCACCAGCAGTGGATGAGTGTTCTTCTTTCCCCACATCCTCTCAAACATCTGGTATCATTTCTTCTCTTGATCTTGGGCAGTCTAACTCGGGTAAGATGAAATCTTAAAGTGGTTTTAATTTGCATTTCCCTACTTATTAGTGATGTTGAACATCTTTTAAGATGTTTCATAGCCATCTTTACTTCTTTTGAGAACTCTCTGTTCAGGTCCTGAGTCCATCTTTAAATTGGGTTATTTCTTGTCTTGATTCTCTGTTTTTTGAATTCGTTATATATTCTGGATATTAAACCTCTCTTAGATGTGTCGCTGGGAAATATTATCTCCCATTTTGTGGGTTTTCTGTTCGCATCCCTTGTTGCCTCCTTTGATGTACAGAAGCTTTTTACTTTAATGAGGTCCCATTTGTTAATTCTTGCCCTTGTTTCCTGAGCAATTGATGTCCTGTTTAGAAAATCCTTTCCTACACCTATATCTTATAGGTTTTTCCCAATGTTTTCTTCCAACAGTTTCAGAGTTTCAGGATTTACATTGAGATCTTTGATCCCTTTGGAATTGACTATTGTGCAGGGTGGAAGATAGAAGTTGAGTTTCATTCTTCTACAGGTGTAGATCCAGTTCTGCCAGCACCATTTGATGAACATGCTGTCTTTCCTCCAGTGAATATTCTTGGCCCCTTTGCCAAATATCAGGGGGCTGAAATTGCCTTTACTCTACTTGAGTCTTCAATTTTGTTCCATTGATCTATGGGTCTATTTTTGTGCCAGTACCATGTTGTTTTTTGACTATAGCTCTGGATTACAGTTTAAAATCTGGTATAGTGATCCCCCTGGCATTGCTCTTAGTGCTCACGATTGCTTTGGCTATCCAAGGTCTTTTGTGCTTCCATATGAATCTTAAAATATTTTCTTTTCTAATTCTGTGAAAAATGTCATGGGGATTTTGATTGACATTGCATTGAACCTATAAACGGCATTTTGTAGAACTGTCATTTTCACAATATAAATTCTTCGAATCCATGGGCACAGGAAGTCCTTCCATCTTCTGATGTATTCCTCAATATTTTTCTTTAAGTATTACAAATTTCATTGTAGAGCCCTTTAATGTCTTTGGTTAGGTTTATTCTGGGATTTTTTTTTTCAGCTATCATGAAGGGGAATGTTTCCATGGACTCTTTCTCTGATTGCTTATTATTGGCATATAGAAAGGCTATAGACTTTGGAAGATTAATTTTTTAACCTGCTACTTTACTGATTGTGTTAATAATTTCTAAGAATTTTCTGGTGGAATTTTTGATGTCTCTTAGATATAATATCATATCTGTAAAAAGGGATAATTTGATCCCTAGTTTATTATATATGCCTTTAATTATGTTGAGGTATGTTCCCTCTAGTCCAATTCCCTCTAGACTTTGAACATAAATGCATGCTGAATTTTGTCAAAGGCCTTCTCTGCATCTACTGAGATGATCATGTGGTTCTTGTCTTTGAGCCCATTTACATGATTTATGACATTTATTGACTTGCGTATACTGAACCATCCCTGCATCTCTGGGATAATGCCGACTTGATCATGGTGGATGATCTTTTTGATGTGTGTCTGTATGCGGTTTGCAAGTATCTTGATGAAAATTTTTGCCTCTATGTTCATGAAGGATATGGATCTATAGTTTTCCTTTTTGGCTGTATCTTTACCTGGCTTTGGTATTAGAGTGATGTTAGCTTCATAGAAGGAATTTCGAAGTTCTCCCTCCATTTCTATCTTTTTGAATATATTAAGTAGTATTGGATGGAGATCTTCTTTAAATGTCTGATAGAATTCTGTGTAAATCCATCTGGTCCTGGGTTTTTTTTTTTTATTCAGGAGCTTTTTGTATTACTGTTTCAATTTCTTTTTGTGTTATGGGTCTGTTTAAGCTGTTAATCTCATTGATTTAGTTTGGGTGGTTCCCATCCCTTTAGATATGCATCCATTTCTTTTAGGTTTTCAAATTTAGTAACATATAGGTTTTTAAAGTATTCCCTTATAATATTCTGTATCTTTCTGGTGTCTGTTGTGAT